ATAAAAGTTGGTATTTGACGGATCAATAATATTTAACAATTTTATTTTATTTTTTTTACTGTAAGGATGAACAGTAAAAAAAATTTTAGATCCGAAAATCAATAACAAAACCAACAAAGAAAAAGAAAACTGATTTGAGCGAAAATTGAGCCCAGTAATGGAATTTGAAGATTTTTGATGAAACTTTTGGATCAAATGATCAAGAAAACCTTCTGGACACAATAACACAAGAAATTGAAAAAAATTAGAAAACAAAGGATATAACCTGATTAAATTGGAGTCAAAGCTCTGATACCAACTGATGCGAACCCCGTAGCAATGAAAACTACGAAACCCACAACGAGATTGATGCGGAACCCAAGAACGCCAATACTAACCCGGTTTTGGATCTTGAACCCCAAGAATTGAACCAAGAAAACCTTCTGGACACAATAACACAAGAAATTGAAAAAAATTAGAAAACAAAGGATATAACCTGATTAAATTGGAGTCAAAGCTCTGATACCAACTGATGCGAACCCCGTAGCAATGAAAACTACGAAACCCACAACGAGATTGATGCGGAACCCAAGAACGCCAATACTAACCCGGTTTTGGATCTTGAACCCCAAGAATTGAACCAAGAAACCCTAGATTAGCGAAGAACCTAAAACCCCTTGATTACAATTAAAACAGCCCACAATCCGATTGTTTAGAACGCCACAAGAAATTGAATTTTGATAAGTTCCAAGATTGTTCAAGAAGAACAAGAAATTGAAAGAACAATTCTCTCTCTGTAATATTAAGCAAAAAAGTCAAAAGTTCTTACAATGAAAAATATTCTCCTATTTATACTAATGAATAAAAAACGACCAAAACCATCAAATTATAGTAATAATTTGATTTCATAAGAATTCTATCGAAACTAGGAAATTCAGCCAAAATTAGAAAATTCACCAATATTTTTGGCTTGTGCGGCCGCATGGTGTATTTCCATGCGGTCACATGGTTCAACAAGAATTGGTGTTGTGTTTTTCAGTATGCATGTGTGCGGCCGCATGGTGTTTTGCCTGTGCGGCCGCACAAACTTGTTTTCAGCCTCCGATTTCGTCGCTTGATAACAAATTGATCCAAGTTGATTCAGCCTTCGACCCGAACATGAAAGTTGCTCCATTTTGAGTCCGAACATGGTTCCATCAATGGTTTCTTGAAGGAGCAATCCCATCACTTGTTTCACTTGCTTTGCCCTTGATCGCGTCATTGGTCCGCCATCGACTATCAATGGGTATCGTCTCGCACTTGCCTTCGTCGGGCTCGACTCCTGGATCATATCAGATTTTCTCTCAAGTCTTTTAGGCTGTAAACTCCTTTTCCAAGGTTGTAAATCACCTCATATGATCCTTCCCAGTTTGGCCCAAGCTTGGATGGAGGGTGCCCTGTTGCTACTGCTTCCATTAATACAAAATCTCTTGGCTGGAAAGTCCATGGCTTACCCTTCTATTAAAGTATTCAGTAGCTTTTCGCTTGTAGGCTGCCATCCTTACAGCTGTTTTCTCTCTCACTCCATCGGTAGGTCGAGTTCTACACTGGTAGTTGCGATGTCAAGATGTTTGACTTTCATCCTGCCGGTTTCATTTAGAATTTCTACGGGGACAATGGCTTCCATCCCAAAAGAGAGTTTGAAGGGTGTTTCTCCTGTAGATTCTCACGGAATGGTGTGATATGCCCACAACACATTTGGCAATTCATCTGTCCAAAGCCCCTTTTCCTTTTTAAATCTTATCTTCAAATCCCATAATATCGCACGATTGGTTACTTCCGTCTGCCCATTGGATTGGGGATGAGCGACGAAAGTGAGTACGCGATAACTTTCACAAAAAGCCTTGAAGATGTGGTTGTCGAATTGTCTGCCGTTGTTAGTTATAAGAACTCTTGGTATGCCAAACCTGCATATTATATTCTTCCAAGTGAAAACTCTGCACCTTAGCCATTGTGATGGTGGCTAAGGGCTCCATCTCGACCCATTTGGTGAAATAGTCGATGGCCACTAACAAGAACTTCCTTTGCCCCTTGGCTATAGGTAGAGGCCCCAAGACGTCCATTCCCGACTGGAAAAAAGGGCATACCCCAAAAACGGCAAACTGTTGCTCCGCGGGAACATGAATCAAATTTTCGTGACCCTGACATGCATCACACTTTCTCACGAACTCTTTGAAATCGTGCTTCATAGTTGGCCAATAATATCCCTATCTAAGGGCCTTGAATGGAAGGACGACCGCCCCCTGATGGTTACCGCAGATCCCTGCATAGATTTCTAACAACACCTCATGTGCTTCAGTTGGGCGCAAACATTTTACGTAAGGCATGGTGAAGCCTCGCTTGTAGAGATGTTCATCAATTATGGTGAATGAAGCTGCTCGAATTTTCAATCTTTTGGCTTCGAGAACATCCTCTGGTAATTTATCCTCCATGAGATAATCAATTATCGGGTCTATCCAACTTTTTTCATATTCCATGTGTACTACGTCGATTACATGTTGTACACTCGGGTGTCGCAGGACTTGCACGTTTGCTGTGCTAGGTAGATTTTTTGGGTTTGCAGATGCTAGCTTGGATAAAGCGTCTACTCGCTCGTTCTCCTTGCGGGGGACCTTGGTTATCTTAAAACTCGCAAATCCCCTTTGTAGGTCCCTGACTTTCATTAAGTAAGCTATCATCTTCCCATCTTTCGCCTCAAATTCCCCTGTCACTTGCCCAACTATCAACTGAGAATCACTGCAAATTTCTACTGACGTCACCCCCAGTCTGGATGCCAAGCTCAAGCCTATAATCACTGCCTTGTACTCGGCGTCATTATTTGTTGCTGGAAACTCGAAACGCAATGAATATTCTAGTTCCTCGGACCCTGGTCCTATCATAATAATGCATGCTCCGGATCCTTCACTATGTGAAGATCCATCCACAAAGATTTTTCAAACTTCCTCATGCCCCTCGGGTTGGTCAAGGGGGGCTGTAAGCTCTGCGATAAAGTCTGTCAAAGCTTGCGCCTTAATAGCTGTCCTCGATTTGAACTCGGTGTCAAATTCACTTAATTCGATTGCCCACTTTAACATCCTCCCAGACGTCTCATGTCGATGCAAAATTTGCTTCATGGGCTAATCGGTCATGACTTGTACTGTATGAGAGTGGAAATACGGCCTTAACTTTCTGACGGCCATAATCAATGTGAACACCAGCTGTTCTACAAGACTATACCTGATTTCTGCACCTCTCAAAACTTGGCTTATGTAATACACTGGCTTTTGTGACTTTGGAAATTCTTTTATGAGCACCGCACTGATTGCGTGCTTTGAAACTGCCAAATACAAACATAACACGTCCCCTGCACATGGACTAGTCAGGACCGGGGGCTGCTGGAGAGACTACTTCAAGGATTTGAGGGATTCTTCACAGTCCTTGGTCCATTCAAAGTTGTTTGAGCCCCAATTTCCTTGAAGAAGTGGTAGCACTTATCAACTGCTCGACTCATGAAATGATTTAATGCTGCTACCCGCCCAGTGAGCTGCTGGACCTCCCTTTTACTTGAGGGGTTCTTCATCTCCAGGATAGCTCGGATCTTATCTGGATTTGCTTCGATGCCTCTTTGTGAAATCATGAAACATAGGAACTTTCCACCTGCTGTTCCAAAAACACACTTCTCGGGATTGAATTTCAGCCTATTCCGTCGGGCTACGTCAAACACTTTTCGCAGATCAGCTACGTGGTTATCAGCCTTAACACTTTTGACAACCATATCATCAACATAAGCTTCGATTATATTTCCAATCAAGTCTTTGAAGACTTTATTTATCGTTCTTTGATAAGTTGCTCCAGCATTTTTCAAGCTGAATGGCATAGCTGTATAGCAGTACGTTCTCGAGTCAATTATGAAAGATGTTTGCTCTTGGTCCGACTCGGCCATAGAGATCTGGGAATACCCGTAGAAGGCATCTAGAAAGCTCAGTCATTCATGACCTGATGTGGCATCTACCAAATGATCTATCCTAGGTAGCGGATCTGAATCTTTGGGACATACTTTGTTCAAAGCAGTGTAATTCACGCACATGCGCCATTTCCCATTTGACTTTATTACGAGGACAACATTGGCCAACCATTCTCGATACTGTACTTCCCTGACAAACCCTGGATGCAACAACTTTTCAACTTCTGCCTTCGCCGCAGCCTATCACTCCGGAGCAAGATTCCTCTTCGTTCCCCTCACAGGCTTTGCTCCAGGTGCAATACCAAGACAGTGCTGAGCGACTGATAGACTGATCCATGGAATGTCACTTGGGCTCCACGCAAAAACATCTAATTGTCAGATAAACACTTCACTAATTCTTCTTTTTCTTCTGGCCTCATGTTCATCCCAATGCTGAATTCATGTCCTTCCCCTATCAAAATTTTTTCTGTCATGTCAAGTGACTTAATTCGTCCCCTCGGGGGCTCAAAATCTAACGTCATAATTGACGGTGATTCCCTTGCTTGTATACTGTCAACATAGCACCTTTTCGAAGATTGTTGATCACCTCTCACATACCCTACGCTCGGCTGGTTGGGAACTTTATAACTTGATGATAAGTGGAAGGAATTGCACCAACGACATTCAACAGAGGCTGACCATATATTGCATTGTACGCCATGGGGGTCTTAACAACAAGGAAGTTTACTAGGATCACCACGCTTGTTGGATATGTACCCAACGTCACTGGAAGTTCTACAGCTCCCTCTGGTATAACAGTAACTCCTCCGAATCCTTGAAGAGGAGTGGACACAGCCTTTAATTCTTCAAGAGAAATTTTCAATCCTACAAATGCTTCACAAGTGAGGATGTTTACCGCGCTACCACCATCAACCAAAACCCTTTTTACATCAAAATCCACTATGTCACCGACGATCACCCAAGCATCGTCATGGGGCGTTGCCACACCAATCAGATCTTCTTCATTGAAAGTAATATTTTGGTGAAACCTGGTCATCTCTTAAATGGAGCAAACCCTAACGGTGCGAGCATAGCCCTTCCTAGATGAATTCGAGTCTCCGCCTGTCGTAATCCCTCCAGCTATCACATTTATTACTCTAGCCTTAGGTGGTGGTCTATCGTTGACTTTCTGTTTGCCTCAATCATTCTTCACATACTTAGTCAAAAGTCCCCATTTCAATAGGTGCTCGATCTCCTCCTTCAAGTGGATACATTATTCCATATCATGCCTATGATCCCTATGGAATTGACAATATCTTCTTTTGTCTCTCTTGTTAGTAGAGGCTGCCATGGGCTTCGGCTAGCCGAGCTCTTTCATGTGCCGAATTTCCATCAATACCTTTGCCCGTGGAGCGTTTACAGGGGTGAAGGTTTTTATCTCTTCTAGCTCTGTTTGACTGCGAACCTGTGCATACCCTCTATTCACATGTTCGCTTTTCAACTTATTCTTATCGGTAGATTTTCTCTCCTCATGTGATTTTTGCTTGTTTGGTTCTCATCCTTCGCGAAGGCTTTTCGTGACCTTCTTTGCTTCCTCAGCGTCTACATACTTCTCTCCCTTTTTCAATAGTTCATACATTAACTCTGGGGGGTTTTTTGAGAGTGACATCTTAAAAGCCTGATTTTGCGTTCCATTCATTAATGCAGTGACTACCACCAAGATCTGGAGATCCTTTACGCCCAATGTTGCCCTACTGAACCTAGCCAAATAATCTTGCAATGGCTCATATTTTTCTTGAACAACTTGCATTAGTCCTATGGCGGTCTTTTTCTTTCTCTTGCTGCTCATGAAATATGCTACAAAGCTTCTAGAGAGCTCATCAAATGTTTTGATTGATCGTGGCGCCAGAGTGGCTACCCAATCTCTCGCTTCCCTTCTCAGCGTCGGTGAAAAGGATCGACACATCACGGCATCTGTGGCTACGTACAGTCTCATTAAATCAACAAAAGTGCATAGATGATCAAGTAGATCGGTGACTCCATCATACACTTCTATCATTGGTTGTTTGAAACCCTTTGGTAGAGGAACCGCAATGATTTCTGGGGCGAACGAGTCTTCTTCCAAAACTATCTGCCTTCGCCTATCCTTCCTCCTTGTCAACACATCGTCAATCTTCTGGGTCATTATTTCTTCCATCCTACGCTACAAGTCTGCCATAGGACGCGTGGCCTGTGTATGTGTGACTTCATGTGACCCTTGGTCAGCAACGATTTCCTGAATTACCGGTGGGACAACTAAATGGTTTGCTTGGTGTTGCCCATTTATGTCTTGCGACGGTGCTTCTGGCATATTGTCAGATGGACCGGCTACTCTTGGCGTCTGATTTTGTAAGAGAATTATCATAGTGGCTAACTGAGCCTCCAGAAGGTTAAATTGACTCTACGTCACATATTGAGATTGAAGCTGCGGATCTTGACCCCTGGCGACAGACTCCGACTCCAACTCCGCAGTGTTAGTAACCACACGTGTATCACTTCTAGTTTGTCTTCTCGACATAGCTTTTATGTTCAGTGAAGACTTCCTACAGACGGCACCAATGAAATAATTTTAGTATAATTCCATATGTTTTCCAGTGAAAGAATTGGTCTTTTATCCTCCGGTGATCCTGCAAAAAGAGGCTGGGGCTCCCTCCCCTTTTTACCTCTGGCGAGAGACTCAGTAATTGTTTTTAGATAAAGGATGTTAAAGAAATGCAGTAGTGATGGAGGAAAGAATTTTTTCTTAAAAAAAGAAAGAAACCCCTTTACCTGACATGCCCATGGGATATTTATAGGCGTCTGGCATCATAACCGCTGGGCAGTTGCCATCCATGTGTCCCCATCAGTCTAACATCACGTAATCATTGGGCAGTTGTCATCCACGCGTCCTTATGAGACTTTCCCGCTCTTCAGGCAGTTTTTTCAATTATTCGATTACCCGGATAATGGGTTTAAATAATAACCGTTCGGATGGTTGTTGATCGATTTCAATGTTGTTCAGGTAGACGACGATTGCTCCGCGCGTGGCGGGGTCAGATTAGCATAGTAATTAGCGCTCTAATATGACGAGTGTTACCTGACATGCCAAAGCTGTCTGTACCTTATGAGAAGCAAAGGTAGCATTGGTCGACCTGACACTACGATAGTCGTCATTTCATGATGGGCTACCTGACATAGCGGGGGTCCATCCTTTTTCTACCAGTCATCCTAATCAATTAACATGATATCATATATATATATATTGCAAATTTTCAAATACAATGTCAAACTAAATATCCTTTGGTTGGGAGGAGATAATAACACTAGATTCGAGCGATGGCAATGGGGGGTTTCGGGGCATGGCGGGGGTTGGACATTTTCCCACCCTGTACCTGCGCGTTACCCATTTGAGGCGGGGCAGGGCCTCTACCTGTTTATGTACCCTTTCTTTTTATATACTTTTATAATTCATTTTATTGCCCCCCAACCATTAAAGTGAAACAATAAAGAGATAATTGTAGCAGAAGCTCCAAACCTTTGAGACATTTTCAGACTTTTCCCAAATCTTTCTCGTCACCCCTAACATTTTCAAACGTTGCATATGAGGCCCTTTTTGACAATTTTCATCCAAAATTTCGTCAGTTGACTGAAAAAATGATTTTGACCGCATTTTAACAATTTTTAAAGGAGTAGAATGGTAACTTTACATTAAAATGAAAAATAAAAAAATAAAATTAGCCTTCTTCTTCCCTAACCCATCCCACATTTTTAAATCGTAAAAATAAACCTTCATCCCTTTCAATGTATCTGAAAGAATATCAAGAAAAAAAATTAGCAAAAAGACAATCTTCATCTGAGTGCTGATTTGAGTTTAATGGATTGAGGATTTTCACCGTTAAAACTTCTTACCTTGGGGATTATGGATGTGTTGGAGAAGGGATAGTTCTTTAATAAGAGCTCGAGAGTGTTTGGTTTTAGAAACAATATTTCTTGAAATTGAATTGGTAGGTTTATTGTTGGTAAAAAGAAAAAGGCTAAAGAAGTAGAAGGATAAAGAGAACCAGAGAATCCATTTGAAATATCTCCTGTAAAAATTACTCTTATTAGCATTTTTGTAATGTCCTGTATTATTTTGCAGAAGCCTCATTCGCACATGGAACTCTTTAGTGTTCATCCATTCCTCTCTCTCTCTCTTAAAAACTCTCGAGAGATCAAGAGAGGTAGGAATAGAGAAGTGTTCAGATGGGATTTTCTGTATTTATGATAGATATTCGGGCGTCGTTCATCTCGAAACCCCGACCCCACTTTACCCGCTCATTTTGCTAATGGGTTTCTTGATTTGTTGTGGGGTAGGGTGGATTTTGGGAAGGGTTAGGGAAGAAGAAAACTAATTTTATTGTTTGATTTTTTATTTTGATGTAAAGTTACCATTCTGTCCTTTTAAAAATTATTAAACTACGGTCAAAATCATTTTTTCGGTCTACTGACGGAATTTTGGATGAAAATCGTCAAAAAGGACATCACATGTAATGTTTGGAAAGATTAGAGGTGACGACCGCAACAAATCAAGGGTTTGGAAAAAGTCTGCAAATATTTCAAAGGTTAGGGACTTCTGCTGCAATTATCCCAAACAATAATATAGTTATTAAATTTTTAATTAATTAATTTATTTTTAAAAGTTAAATTATTCGAATATATTTTGTAAACTAAGATTTTTATTATTTATCATATACCTTAAATAATTTTAGTTGTCATCTTCTATTAAAATTAATAAAATTTCGTGGAATTTTCCATTTAAAGGATTGAATTCTTAAAAAATATATATTTATTAACTTGGCGAGCAGGGTGGGGCAGGGCATGTGTTACATGTACCTGCCTCGAATACCCGATTAAGTGGGTAATTCTCATCCCATTCAAGGCGGAGCCCACTGTATCAGGTTTGGTGGGATTTTTTTCCATTCCTACTAGATTATCCTCTACAAAAAATATCCATGTGAATTTGGGCTATCTGTTCACTACATTTCCAGCAATTGGACCCAGAAGAAGGCCCGACCCCTATTTTTCGCCACAAAATACCCGTCAGTTGACTAAAAAGAACTTGATGTCCAATTGAACCAGAATCCTATTGATTCATTTGGTCCAAAAGACCCCTGTTCAGTTGATATTAGGAAGAAGATAGGGTTGGAGATACGGGAGAAAGAGATAGGAAGAGTTATATGGCTGAATGAAGGTGGGGCATTGACGGTTATACTAAAATTATGTGATGAATAGGCCGCTTTCCAAGTGGAAATTAAATGGAAACATGTATCTGAAGATTGAATTTCAAAAATAATGTTTAAAGTTTACATATAAAAAATCAGGTAATAATTTTATATTTTAATATTAATAAATTAATCTACATGCTCACACTTTACTCCATCTACCCCATTCAAACCCTTAATTATTCTCTCCCTCTTCTTCCCCTCCCTTCTCTTTTCCGCTCTCATCTCTCTCTACCCTCTCCTTACACATAGATGGACATCGTAACCGGAGACAACAGCAAGGCTCGTCACTGTGAGCAACGACGCACGCTCACAACAACTACCTCCGAGCATCGCTATATAGCGATATTTCGCTGTAAGCGCCGTTACACAGTGTCATACGCAGCAGTGTCAAAGTCGCTGCGTGCGGTGACCTCGCACAACACAACGCCGCTGCAGCGGTTTCTCTATGTAGCATCGCAACAACGCAATCGATGGCATTCGTTTTTTTTTTTTTTTTTTT